AAAACAATAAACTTGCTGAAAAGATGGTATACCGCAAACATGAGGTGCAAAAATTTGTACACCATATCCGCATTTCGACAATTAATGTCTCTTCAGTGATGTTAGGAATCGAAACGGTATTTGGAAGGCCATATAATTTACCTCAATTTAGGATAGACTCTTGAATTTTGAAAGAGTCGAAATAGGATGAACGGATCATATAAACCCAAACGCAAATATAATACAAGCCCAAACGAAAAAATATAAGCAAGTCTAAATTGAAAACAACGTTCAAACCTATGATTGCGTTGGATAAAAACCGCAATTTTTATACGTGTGCGTGCAAAACAAATTTCTTTGTAGAGGGGTCTAAATACAGCACAAACAACATTTTCCAAAAGACCAAAAAAGTTAAAAAGTATATTTTAACAAAACGCATTTGACTAGCAGGTCGAACAACTGATGTCCTTAAACCCTGCTGACTGCCATTGGCGATTGCCAAATAAACGGATCACCAGATGTAACAAAATGGATCTTATAATAATTTTTTACCAAACAGAAAACAATAAACTTGCGGAAAAGATGGTATACCGCAAACATGAGGTGCAAAAATTTGTACACCATATCCGCATTTCGACAATTAATGTCTCTTCAGTGATGTTAGGAATCGAAACGGTATTTGGAAGGCCATATAATTTACCTCAATTTAGGATAGACTCTTGAATTTTGAAAGAGTCGAAATAGGATGAACGGATCATATAAACCCAAAGGCAAATATAATACAAGCCCAAACGAAAAAATATAAGCAAGTCTAAATTGAAAACAACGTTCAAACCTATGATTGCGTTGGATAAAAACCGCAATTTTTATACGTGTGCATGCAAAACAAATTTCTTTGTAGAGGGGTCTAAATACAGCACAAACAACATTTTCCAAAAGACCAAAAAAGTGAAAAAGTATATTTTAACAAAACGCATTTGACTAGCAGGTCGAACAACTGATGTCCTTAAACCCTGCTGACTGCCATTGGCGATTGCCAAATAAACGGATCACTAGATGTAACAAAATGGATCTTATAATAATTTTTTACCAAACAGAAAACAATAAACTTGCGGAAAAGATGGTATACCGCAAACATGAGGTGCAAAAATTTGTACACCATATCCGGATATCGACAATTAATGTCTCTTCAGTTATGTTAGGAATCGAAATATATATATAGACATAATAGACAAACAAAACAATATCACACTACCAACTGCAAATGCATGTATTCATTCGTTTTTTAAATCATCTCCCAATACAAGAGCTTACAAACATTTTTTACATCTTTCGACGACCATACTCTAAGCATGTAAAGAGAAAGATGCTAATTTAACCAGTGACTACATTAACCAAGTACACATAAAGAAAGCTTTTAAGGAACAATATTGTTTAACATACACAGTATTTGATTGAATCGGGAGCTTTAATCACTATAATTTTAACCAACAGCAGGCATATTGATCTAAAGATAATGTATACAAAGATGTAAATTCTATTTATAGTTTATCTGTATACGATCATGCAAAAACAGATGCCGACAACTTACAAACTTATCTTTATACATGTTATAAATGTAGTAAAGATACAAGGTTGATCAAATCACAATTCATATAGAAAAACCAATCAATGTCAAGGAAATTTTCACCCTCAAATTCATTTGTACCCACAGAATTAATTTTTCATTCACTTTCAAGTGACGAACTAACAGACAATTGTTCACGTAACATGTAAAGACAGATACACTCATTAGTACACAAGATCCCATCATACATCTCTAGGATCTAAAAATAGCAACAATCAACATTCAATCTATAAAGGCGTGGATCAGTTTGAAAATAAGCTGATGCGGTTACAAAATTTAATTATATAAGCCCCAGAATGTAGCTTACACATATCAATGAATATATAAACTAATTGTGATATATTAAAGCTTCCACCTATATTTCGCTTGACAATCTGTTTCATAAGATGCGTGGAGCCATCTAGGTGAAATCGGATGTTGATAAGAAAATTTTGTAGCTTATTGTACATTTCGTACTAGCATATCTAATCGTGTGTTGTTTAAATTGTATGAAGTTCAAGATTTATTCCTTAGTTTTGTTTATGATATTAAAAACTGTTTTTCATTTCTCGCAATGAGTTCTTCAAGTTCAAAAGTACATAACGCGTGCTTCCAACTTATCTTTGTTCCGTTTATCAACTTTGTTTCTGTGTTCTAATTTTGATTAGCCTTTATTATTTTAAAGGTAGTGTTTTAAACAGAACGTCTTGATATTCCTTTATTATCAAATGACCTGGCAATGATTATCTACTTTTATTAGTTAAATTTTGTTTTTATTTTCTGTTTGCGAACATATTACAGCTTGCAATTTCCACAAGTAAGAACACATACTATTTTCTGTTTTACATGTTTAACGGTTACCGTATGGCTGGTTTTGGTTGAAATGGGTGTAAAATTTAGCAATTTATGGGGCAACAAAGTATACGAAAAATATAAACGATCTTATTTTGGCGGATACTGAAATAATTGCAGTTAAAATGTTGTAAAACTTAACAGAAAGAAAACATTATAGTATATATTTGCAGTAGATCTGTATAAAGACAAGAAATTAAAGAAAATAATTATCGTAATAGCAAAAAGAAATACATACGAATAATAAAAACCAATTCTGAGGTAAAACAATGTAACCGTCAAGCGTCAAAAGCGTCTTAGAATTTTTCCTTTAATCTTACTGACTGATAATTTCCTTTCTCAGCACAGTAGAATGATATAAAAAAATATCGCTGGAAACTAAGGGCGCACGTGCCGTTGTCACAAAAAAATATATATATATATATATACATGTAGATAAAGCCATTGAGCACTTACTTTTCAAAATCTATATCGTATATTCCGTTCAATGCATAATACATTGATTAATTGATTGACTGATGGATTGATTGGTTTTGAATACCACTTTCAGAACTATTGGCTATTTCGTGGCGGTAAGTTTTTGTTGATGGAGCTGTAGTGTCCGGAGAGAAGCATTCACCTTCGGCATTTAATCTGACCATCCTTAGATTGTAGCCGAGCACACCTGCCACGAATAAGGTTCGAACTCAAGTTTGAATTGTTTTACGTTTGTCATTTCGGGGCATTTTATAGCTGACTATGCGGTATGGACCTTGCTCATTGTTGAAGAGCGTACGGTGAGGTATAGTTGTAAATTGCTGTGTCATTCGATCTCTTGAGGAGAGTTGTCATATTAGCAATCTTACCACATCCTTTTTATTTTTATATTGATACAGTAGTTGGACTACTTAGAAAACTCGGCCAACCCCAATTCATAAAACAGGATACTGTTACATGTAAGACAAGAAAGCATGAAAACATATTCACGAACTACTCAAAACTTTGGTTTGTATGCAAACTAACAGATTTGTTTTATATTTGATCTTCCATTCTTTGATTAAATAAGTTAATATCTTCCATTACCATTGGCGTTTGTTGATTGTAGGCAATTCAACATGCCTTAACGTGTTTTCAGTGTTTGATGAGATGCAATATATATGTGTTACGCAGGTGAATGGTTTCTTTATAACGTGCTAACGCTTATCATGCATGTACTTAATCTATTGTTGTGCCGACTTATCCAAAATACAGTTCCTTACTTAATTAGATCCTATTATTTATAGGCTTAAACAAACACTTCATTTTTTATACTACTCAATAATAAGTCTTTACAGTCCCGTGGATGATCTTAATAGAAGTTGACAATTAATACAAAATTAAAAAGTATGATTCCAAAATGTTTATTTATCGAAAAAAAATTAACTAATTTCCCAAAATATAATTTTGCTTTGATGAAAAAATAAAACTTATGGAACAAATTTTCAAGCAAAATATCATGGTACTAGAATGAAAATCATGAAAACCCACTTCTCAATTTACACCTGCTAGATTTTTCGAATATGAAAATATGCAGGAAAACACAGGAATTTGAACAGGAAACAATTGAATAAAGACTTCATTTCAATGAAGGATCAACGAAGTTTTTAATTTAGAAAAAGAAACCACGATAAACGAAAAGGCTGACCTCACAGAAGTGGTTCAATCAAGTTTGTTATACAAACAAAGGTATTCTCTCTTATCAAACGTTCACAAGTGCTACGATAGCCATCAATAATTATTTGTTGATCGATATTACCAGTATCATAACATAAAGTTGTCTTGTCATTTTTACTCATTTATTTCCTATGTGAACTAGTATCCATTAAACTTTCTATTGAATGATTAACACCACAATTTCAGTGCACCAATTCAATGATTGATGAACTATAATTGCACGAACATGCACAGATGATGTGTGGCTGAATTAAGAGGGATGTTTATTCAGTAACTTTAGAATAAAGATAACAGTTGTTGACTAAAAAATTTCAAGGATTACATTTTTGATGTGATGGTAGCATACACCAGTCCTGCGTATCATTTTTTGCAGGCATGAGATAAATCGTATTTTTAAGGATTAGAACACCAAAAATCTTAAATTTTTAATTGATAGATACAATTCTTCTGTTCAACGTGAAAAAAGAATTATGCTTGTAGGTTCGATATTATTAGATTATTTAAATTTTTTAAAAACAACCAAATACTGTTTATTTTGGGGGAAAACACGAAACTGAAGTTGCTATAGTGACATAACGGAGTCGGTGACCCTCAATGTATTTTTAATCATTTTTTGTTCCCAAAATCATGAAATACCTTCACATAAAATGTAAAGAAAAAATCACTGGCGGAACTGAATAGGCTTATCTTTTCACATACTTCAGGTATATTATCCATACCACGAAATGGTGTGGATGGGGTTTATATAATAAAAATAAAGAAAAGAGTAAATATGGCTAACATTTAAAGAATACAGAATTGAAGACCAGCCAGACCCTCATGGACTTTAAACTTCTTTATTCAAACTATATTTAAACATGTCAGTCACCTGTGAATGTTACTAATAAGGAAATATTATGTTCTGAAACATAACAGTAATGGGGTATTATTTAGTTGTTTTGCTAATGTCTGTATTTGTTTTGATTGGTGCATTTTATGTAAACACTGTTGAGCAAAGAATAGTCCAAATAAAAGACGATTTACTTAAACATGAAAAAGAAGTAAAGGAAGTGAAAGAAGAATTGGAGTCGACCAACAAGGCACTAACACAAGTGAAAGTAGAACTGGAATCGACAAGAAAGGAGCTTACACAAGCGCAAGTAGAATTGGAATCGACGAAAAAGGAAGTTAAACAAGTGAAAGTAGAATTGGAATCGACGAGAAAAGAGCTTACAGAAGTGAAAGTAGAATTGGAATCGACGAGAGAGCAAATTAATATACTTCGTAAAGGAATGATAGAAAAAGATAATACATGCAGGAAAGAAAGAAATCAAATTAGAGTAGACGTAGGTGCGGTTCGTGAAGAACTAAATAAGATTAAAAAAGGTAAATAAACACAGTCGAGAGAACATTGCAGTTATACCATGATACAAGTATATAATCTAAACATACCCTTTTAATACTTAAGAGGCATCCTTTTTCACAACATATTTAATGGGTTATTGTAAAATTAATTTTTGTGCCTAAAATGCATGAATTATTTGCCAATTGACGTTACAAAAACATTAATTTCATCAACTTATCACAATTTGAAATAGTAGAAAAAGGACGATCACTGAAAAAAAGATGAAGTGGCCAGTTACCAATGCTACGGTAGGGATTGTTCGTTTACAAATTATCCCTTATGAATCTTTTTAAGACTTACAGCTTCTGTGCTGACAAGCGTAATGCTTTATTCAATAAATATTGTTGTGATCTGTTTTGGTCCAAATTTTAGATGTGTCAAAATGTATTATTCATTTGGCCTTTCAAAATCATGTACTTTCAAGGGTTTTAAGTGAACGTTGTCATGTTTTACAAAGTGAAGTGTCATGTATGTCAGTATCATACGCAAATTTTACAATGAACCTCAATATACAGTAAAACCAATTTAACAATACAAAACCATGAAAAGACTATAGACAAGCAAGCATAATATACTATAAAAAGATGCACATATATCATTAACAAACACTTTGTTCTATTTGGAGAGAGAGAGAGAGTTTATACAATTAGCTTCGATATTTTAGGGACCTAGATTCTCAGTTGACCAGTTTCCATATAGGCTGACAAATTTAGAAAAACAAATCCCTTCGAACGATAAATACTACAACAATTGATGATACCTTGATTGCTCGACATATTACTAACATGTTACAGGCATTTTGTTACTCACAATTTTAACTTGTTCCAAATGACTAATGATTTTTCCCTTGCACAAGTATTTTTAATCAAATGTACCTAACACAGAATAATTTCTACCTATTTGGTTAAACAATTACAACTTGAATACAAAAATAAATCAAATAGTTTCACGTTTTTATTTTGTTGCTTTTATCTAAGTTTACAAAAACAATTCATATGAGAAGTCCACAAACACTTTACCTCTTTTTTAGCCCAAAACTCACTTATTGAATGTTATTCTTACAACATGAGCATGCGCTTCATTTATAAAATTGATTCGTTACAATTACTTCTTAAAAATCCGTTTTCAATTAAAATATTGAAATTTTGTTTATTAAGTTTTTGTTTATTTTTATTTTCATACATACTAAATGGTAGCATTCTTTTAAATTGACTATTGCACTATTATCTATGTTGACAACTTAAAGATCATTATGGGCAGCGAAATTTAACCTTCATGTTTTTCAGAACTTCACACACAAAGACCTGGGTTTTATGTAACTCTGTCTTCCCATACTACCTTAAGTCAGATTCAAAGAATACAGTTTGACCAGATTATAACTGATGTTACAAATGATTATAATATAACTGGAGTTTTTATAGTTCCAAAGAACGGACTTTATCATTTTTCGTTGACAATGATCTCTACAGAAGACAAACTACATGCCCAGATTATGCAGAATCATCGAGAGGTTGGCCGAAATTATGGATATTCCATTGGTGTGTCAGGAACAATTAACGTAGTGATTTCTTGTATGGAGGGAGATTCAGTTTTTGTGCGTCACATGTCAGGACAAGGTGCTGAAAAAATTCATGGGGGAGGATATTCTGCATTTTCTGGATTCTTAATCAACTAGTAAAAAAGAAGATGCAAGCATGAGAGAGTGTACTGCAACGAACAGCATCATTTCCAAGGTGATATGGTTTTACTCTCTTATGTTTTTCATCATTGTCTAGTTTAAAGAATTAGCAAACTTACAATGACAAGAGACCAAACTATTAAGAGATAATTCGTTATTATCGGTCTCTTGGCGTTTGAGAAAATTAACAAATAAGACAATTTTGGAATAAATCTTTATAGATCTGTTCACTAGACGATGTTGCGTTATATAGTAATGTTAATCTACCGTCAAATGACAGTACCAACATGCGAATGAAAATTTGATAGTCGAGACTGGGAAATTTCAATTTTCAAAATGGAAAAGAATAGCAAGCAAATGATTGTAGTAGAAATGAAATAATGCACTTCTATGTTTATCCGTTTTTACCTGTGGACACTTATCATGCTTATGAAGCCACCTGTTCACGTGCCGTTTCAAAGAAATCACCTCGTTAGTTAATCTCTTTTGTCATATCTTAATTGTTTGTCATTTAAAAAACATAAGTGTTGATTGCCAGTCTTTGTTGAATTTAATTCTTTTATAGACTACTGGCAATTTAAACATACTGTCAAGAACAAAGAATTTTACGTGTTTAGTTGCTGTCTCTGTGCCATATACTCCACACCACCTTTATTCGTATACTTTTATTTTTAGTTTTAAAGATATCAAAAGTCATTACAATTATTAAACATCTAGAGTGTGCCTGTTCCAAAGTCAGGAACCTCGTGAATGGTTTCCAGTAATTATATCCTGTAATGACCATTTAGTAAAACCCCAGCTTTTTCTAGCGGGTTGGTACACCTGGGAATACTTGCCAAGGGTGTCTGTGCATGCGTTCATCCTTTCTGTTTAACTTTTAAATCTTCTGACATTGAAACGTTTGACAGAATGAGACTTCTACTTAATCTCACCCTCATAATGTACTTTCGCACCTTCTGTTACTTCTGTCGAATTAGCGTTGTCATGACTTGGTCTATGACACATACACACAAATTACAGTACATAATTATACCCGTATATCCGTATTATCTCCTAATTTTTCAGCATAAATTCTGAAATAGACGTGAAATATGGTTTTGCTGCTTCTTCTCTATGCACGCGAAATTAAGGAGTAAAAGCAAAGACTGGTCTACCAGCAGTCCGAATATTGTTTCAATTACAGCGACATATCTTCCTGATGAATTTTACCTTTCGAATTAAAGTTTGGGTTAAAGTTTGAGTTATAATTTATATCCGAGTTATAAATCGAGATCGAGTCAAAGGTCGAGTCAAACCAGAAATGACCAGACATAAGAGGGTGTCCCAACGGAATTCCAAGTATTATTTGTAAACAAATATCTTAACACCATTCTAACAGTACTAGTTGTGTACACATTGTATTTTCAATAATTTGTGATGTATATACGAGACTTCGTTTAATCTTTTAAAAGGTCAATAGTCTGTTTATAGCATCTTCGCTAGCCAAGTGTTACGATCCAGTCCTCTCCTCTCCACCCTTGGCGGATTACGATAGAATTTCGGAGACACGAGGTATTGATTTCTATTGGTCGCAGTTGTAACTGGCTGCATCCAATCAAAACGTACCTTTAAGATGATCACGTGTAAATGTAAAAAATGTAAATAAACATTTGCCACGTGCTGATTGTGCAACAAGTCTTTACCCAAAAAAACGATATTTGGTGACAATTTGAAAGTTTTTAATTAACTTATTGAAGTGCCTGGGTATGTTTCTCGCGCAAATGTTGGGATGTCAACATACATTTTTTTTCAGGTCCTGCTTCACGAAATTTGTGAACACTAGCCACAACCATTTTTACACCTCTACACAGAAGAGAGTTCAAGTGCTGCCCCATTGGTCAAGAATGATGATGTCGGAATGGGCGTAACTTTTATCTTCCGGTAGTTGGTGCAGCATTGTAATCACAAATGTTGGCTTAATCAGCCAAGGGTGGAGAGAAGTGGACTGGATCGTAATCCTTGGCTAGCGAAGATGGTTCATAGAAAAAAATTAGAATTTAATCGTTTATTCTTTGTTCTACCACATGCATGATAGTCTACCTGGAAACCGGACGACATCCATTGAAAATAAGCGTTAATGGTATGATGAGAACATATTGGTGCAGATTGCATGTAGATGAAAACAAGTTATCACCCATTTTATATATCAATTTGTATATCTTCAGTAGTATACAAACAACGATAATATTGTACATATAAATTACATTAAAACCATATTAAGCAATGCTGAATCCCAAAACCTATTTTATGTGCAAAATACCGACTTTACAAAATAGTTATCAAAAAGAATTAAACTTCGATTGATTGTTTAATTTTTAAAAATTTGAAATTCGTCTATCTAGAACACTTCTTAATGCATTACGCATAGACTTTGCAATTGAAAATTCGGAATTTGATATTAGATATATTAATAGATATCATTTATACACTTTGTAAATTCCAAACCTTGAATCATGCACTGCTTATAGAAACGAGGAGACGGCATACTATTGACAGAAAAGAAATAAAGTGTTCTATATGCAATAATCACGGGTAGTAACGTCGTCATATCACTGAGCGTTTAGTACAGTGATTTTGTTATAGTTTGGTTAAGTTGGAAATGATTGTGATAAGTGTTTTTATGACAAACAATGACACAATATAAAAATTCTGATATTTTGCTAAAGGAACTTCTGGACATAATTTTAAGCTGGTAAATATCTTTGTTTATGGCTAATATGTTAGTACATTAAAATGTGTATCCTATAGTTATAATTTGACACAGAATAATGCTTGCGTATATCAAAATGTAAAAGTTGTTATTCATTTCTTATGCATAAAAAAATGTGATTTGTTTACTGCCTGTTACATCACATATTTCGTTATGATATAAACCTGCCGTCGATTATTCCGAAAAAGGCTACATTTGCACACAATTTAAGATTACTGAAAATCCGGTGGTTTGGTTAAGTAGTGTCATGGTTAAGTTCATGTTCGAAATTGTTCAGTTATGTGATACCTGTCAAATGATGGAAGAGTATAGATCAAAACAAAAAGACAATATGTACAACTACTGTAATACTGTTAAAACAATATTTTCGCTGATACTTTTTTTTCGCGTTCATCCCATTCTATCCTAGTTTGAGGCAATATATTGTCGCCATTTCCTTATATAGTTGTTTTGTTTCCATACGAGTAGATGTGTGTTTCACATATTAACATTGATCTTCTACTCGCCAAATACATTGTTCGAGAAAATAAGTCGTCGAAAGTAAATTTAAGATATTATCAATATAGTTATCATTATTATAAAACACGTATGTATAAAGAGATCACGAGGGTAATATATCAATGCATTTCATTAGCAATATTACTATATAAAAAAGTAGTTTTATTCGTAATACAAAAGGACATAAGAAAGGACATAGTAATATATAATAAGTAGATGCGGTGTGATTTCCAATGAGACAACTATCAACCCGAAAACAAACGACGTAAATGTTAGGTCGCCGTACAGCCTTCAACAATTAACAAAACCTATACCTCTTAGCAAGCAATGAAAGGCTCCGACTAAATTAAAGGTAAAGCAATTCAAATGAGAAAACCAACGGCCTGATTAATGTTCAAAACAATAAACAATTTGATATACAGTAACAAACGACAGCCTCTGTAACCGGAGCTTTTTGCAGTTTTAATATATTTGATATAACATTCTGTATCATTTGTGTTCGTTTGTCATCTGTAAGATTATAATTAACTCGATACATAGAAGTTTATAAGCGAAATACGTAGGTCAACATTGTAAAAATAAGAAAACATGGTATGATTTCCAATGAGACAACAGTCCACCAGAGATGTAAGCAATAGATCAGTTTTATTTCATTTGTTGATATTCATTTTTTTTAAATGGAGAAATGAAAAATAGACCGGAAGTCATAAACCTTTCTTGGTTTTCCTTCTCGTCGTTTAGGAAAAAAACGATGAAAATAAAACAGTAGTCGATTAATGCTTGAGGAAGAATCTATTTATTATATATCTGCATCACAATTTTCTTTAAAGTATGAACAAAATGTTTTTATCGTATTTGTCAATAAACAGGTTGCTGAAAAAAGTTAAAACACATATTAAGTGCTCTGATCTCTTTCTTGGTTTGTATTATTAATATTATTAATATCTCAGAAAAATTTCAATAAGACATCACCAAAACAACAATAGTAAATAAAAATCTAGAAATGACAATATCATGAATACGGCTCTACAAATAGATGAAACAGATTCTTGAGGCCCCTCATTGGGGTGTCCAAATAATCACATAATCACAAAATGTTTGCCAATATAATCACATAATCATTAATTATCTTTTTAAACAAGATAATCAAATAATCAAAAATACAGTCCTACATTATCAAATAATCAAATAATCAAGAAATATTTGATCTAGTTATCAAAAAATGACTATAAAAACGGCCAAGTAATCACATGAGGAGGCTCATTCTTGAGAAGGACACTTCACAAAATGTATTTTGCTCTTACACTCTCATTAATCAGAGAATCATTTCTCATGATCGGACCAGTTAACCAATCTTGTTTTACAATCGTAACGGTTTGTGAAAACATCTACAGTCTTATGCTGAAGCATGAAGCTGCTATGGGTTAAAAAGAATGATCCAATGTATTGAAAATAAGTAAGGATTTATAAACGTTGTGTTTCATACTAACGTGTCAGTATCTCAACTTTACTTTATTTTTCTTTTTTTTTATCTATTTTTGTTTTTTTCTTTGACCTCTGGAATTCGATTCTTGCTGTCAATCCGCTCACTAGTATTTCTTCAGCTCAATTAAACATGTTAAAACTGCAATCTGCCAAACTGATAATGAATTTATTATCTACATTCAGGGCTCACCACAGAATTAAAATCAAAGGTGGGAGAGAAAGGACATTAATTCATAGATGGTGTGTTGCGTTGTCAAATTGTTTCTTGCGCACAAATTTTTCCTTATTTCTTGCTTATTTTATGTCTTACAAGTTGTCATATATAGCTCATTTGGAAAGGGGGTCTATCGTACATTTTATAGTTGGTCTTATTAGTGGTTACCACACTTTTAGGAACCTATTATGCAGGGAGAAGTAAAAACCTTATATGGCTTCCCAGATTTTAGGGATAAGTGAGGGATCCACATATTACTTCTCATATGATAAAGTATGCAATATTCAATTTTACTATTTAATGGAGCACTCTTGAATTAAATCTAAAATTCCATCTGAAAACCACATGGTATGATAGAAATGATAAAGGAATTAATAATAAAAAACATTTAGTCTTATAGAATGTCAAAGGCATTTCAACCAATAAGTCTATCTAGCATATTTGATCCCTGTTAATATTTATGTGTTCTGTACCAAATTCAAGTGAGATGAGAGAAAAAAACTGCAAAAATTTAAGTTCACAATATAATAAAAAATATGGCGGTACTTAGCATCAAAACGAATGACATTTTGAAACGATAGAACATACTAAGTACTCGCATTTATTGACAGCTAGTTCAAAACAGAATTTCATATAAACCATAAACCAATCTTAAATTTCAATCAGTAGACTTCCTACGGATTTAGTATGAAGACGTTTGAAGCAGTCTGAAAAAAACACGACCTTGTCGATGCTAAAATATATGTATAGTCAGGCTATAGGCCAATACAAAGTCGCTTGTCGATTTTGTCCGCAATTAAAAGCGCACAGAAAAACTTTTCTCGAACTCTTTAATTAAACAACACTGACTTAAAAGCATGCTGTATTTTTCCGTCTGTGATAAGATATTTGCAGTGAGAGTTAAACTTCAAAACCAAATCTTTGTACCTAATAAAATATTTAGAAAAGATGTTTAGTAAGTTGGGATAAAGAATGCAAACCCTGTTCCAAAGAAGGAAATTAACATTGAAGAACGAAAAATCTTCTGTGTTGTCGTAAATATTGGTATTATAGAAATTCATGTAACTGAAATATATGAAGAAAAGAATAATTATTGCGGTTTAGATTCACGGTTGACATTTGGTTTATCGGGAATGCTTATTTGGTTTCACAAACAACTTTGAAGGCGTTCGAAACATTGGTAGATATAATTTATTGGTGTTATTGGTATACTTTGTACTTTACGTTTATATGTCTTATAAACTTTTACTTTTTTAGGAGACGGAAGTATGATTAAGTTGGTTAAACGTGGTTGAATTTACTTCGTTATTTTATTCGGAAAAACTTACATGAAACGCCATGAAATCCCCAGGCAAACTATGTCATTCGCGAACGAACTTTGTATCTTACAATAACCGTCATAGAATCAATGCGGCTAGCTATATATATAACTATTGATTACGACCAGTAACTGAAACTTTCTTAATACGTATCATTAAGTAACCTTTAACAGATATTTTAATCAAATACTACAATACTTAAAGATTGATACCAAAGGCTATTTTTTATCTTTGCAGTATGAATTAATAAAATAGTGGGTGCGTCAATGAAACAGTAACTCGACAACATAACCAAGAGACATTTTTGGCGTAAAATAGGGGTCTTAAACAATAGATATATGTCTACACAAGATGTCAATCTCTGAATTGACCCAACGTCTTTAAAAGTTGTGAATTAGTTGAAGAAAAACCAATCAAACATTTTTCATCATTATCCAGTTATCAAAAAGTAAAAAAGGAAAAACAAAAAAATATTAGTTAGGAAACATAACTTACGGAGAAAACAACTACTACTCTAGTTGATCATAAATTTTAGTATTAATATTACCGTGTAAAATCGCAAGCACTTGTCTCAGACAAAATATCAATATATAAGTATAATAGGTTATTTTTACTGAGATATATGATTGTGTTTGCAATTCTAAAGTCAAGGTTTAAAACAGGACATCAGTAACTATGATTTTTTTTGCGCCTGTCCCAAGTCAGGAGCCTCTAGCCTTTGTTAGTCATGTATTATTTTTAATTTTAGTTTCTTGTGTACAATTTGGAGTTTAGTATGGCGTTCATTATCACTGAACTAGTATATATATTTGTTTAGGGGCCAGCTGAAGGACGCCTCCGGGTGCGGGAATTTCTCGCTGCATTGAAGACCTGTTGGTGACCTTCTGCTGTTGTCTGTTCTATGGTCGGGTTGTTGTCTCTTTGACACATTCCCCATTTCCATTCTCAATTTTATTATGAGTGTTTAATGTTAATAGAAAGAAAATAGTCAAATAGATAAATGTCATAATATGTATATTTTTAAAAATATAATTATACTCGTGTCAGTGATTACGGTTAACGGTCAGAAGGACCAAATATCGCTAACCGGTTAACCGGGGCTTTTTTCAGTTTTAATATATTGGATATAAACGTGTATTAAAATCATTAATGATATTTTTGTTGAGTTTTAAAATGATCGTCATAGTAATTTGACAGATCAGTTGTCAAGTATATTGATTGCTACTTTTTATCTTGAAAAGATTCTAGTTTTACGAAATTAAAAAGCACAAAGACAACGTGTCTATCCGCTCGAGGCAAGATCCATATAATATAAATCATAATTAAAATGCGTGTATTTTGAACAGTTTTAAGCTGAATTTATTTTGAGATTTACTTCATTATTTCAGTTTTTATTTAAAATTGCGTATATCTACATGTAAATATGGCACCTCCATCGTCATACTTTAAACGAAATGCCGACTCAAAAATGGTGAAATGCAAATCATGTGAATGGAATGAATGAATACGTGGTGGAAAGAGTAACACGCGTAACCATTTCAAATTAAAACACTCCATAGAACTTTCTGAGTCTGCAGAGAAATGAAACAATCAACAGTATCAGGCTGCGTCAATTCGACGTGATCAAGAAGATTTTCATCTTCTCAGACTGAAGTTATTACCAACGCCCGAGTAGATATGGTAATATTGGGTTATTAAAAGTAAAACTTCATCAGGAATGGCCATGTGCATTTTTAGAGTACTGTAGACAAGGCTTTAAACACCGGTTAATCGGTTAATTGGTCGAAAGATTATCCGAGTAACCGGTTAGATAAAACTGTACAATTTGACAACACTTATATATACCAAAGTATGTAACCAAAAAAATTGGGTGATCTTTCCACATTAGGCAGTAAATAACAGAAAATGACAGATGCCTCTATAACATTTAGAAGGTGATATTGCACAAATTCACATTCCAACGGACAGTGTTTCTTACGACTGATTTTGTAAGGCAACTGACTGATATTTGACAAATAATGATACATATATTTAATCTCTTGTATTACAGGACTATAAAGTAGATGTATATTATTGTTATACTTGAAACTTTGAGTGTGAGTTTCAAACGTTCGATTAGCGATAAGTGGGACACTTGCACTAAGACGTCCAATTTAGTGTTCTGAAGAAAGACAATGCTTTCCTTAAAAACAAATGAGAAATAAAAGAACCATGAAAACTGCTAATAACTTTTAAGGTCGGTGACATATACTTTTTGGGCTTTATTTGAAAGAGTACCCAAACACTTACCTTCTTGAAATTTTCATGAAGAAATCACTGGTAAATATTGTTTAATACTGGACATGTTTTACACTCCTGCGTATCATTTTTTGCAGGCATGAGATAAATTATATTTTTTAAGATTAAAACACCAAAAATTTTAAATTGTTAAAACTTTAATTGAAAGATTCTTATTGTATGTTTAACGTGAAAAAAGAATTTGGTTTGTAGGTTCGATATTATTAGATTATTTGAATTTTTAGATAACAATCAAATATTGTTTATTTTTGGGAAAAACACGAAACTGAGGTTGTTATATGAATGAATTCTTTATTTGCAAAGCAGGGGTTACATGCTATAGCAACACAAACATATTTACATTGTGACACACAATAAACAATACAATACAATACAAATAGTTTTTTTACGTTATACCATTAATATTACAAAACATAACATATTATAGGAATACATTAAATAATATAAAATATTAATGCCATTCTAAAAAGAATTGTGAGAGAAAGGATTAAAAAAAATAAAAAAATCATAGAAATAAATATCAATGTAGAGAGCAGCAGCAGAGAACAATATTCAATAGACAAATAATCAACTAATTAGATGTGATCTAATCTGCCAAGCAGATTTCAAATAATTACACAATTTTCCAACAAATGATCTAGATTTTGTTTGATACAAATACCTAAGTTTTTTTCATATTTGGCCACAAACAGTAATAGTTTGGTAAAAACTGCAGCCGTACAAATCTATACACAGGACACACTTAAGTAAAATGGTACTCATCTTCAACACTTTTCATATTATAGCAAGTACATTATCTGTTTTCTGTTGGTATATTTGTATATCGCCCAACCATAACATTTAACTTTTAGTACCACTACGTAGCTTTGTGAAAAAATGTGAGTTTTAATTGTAACCTACGTAATTCAAAGCAAAAATATAATTTTATAATTCTGTACATAGTAAGTTTCTCACAATTCAAAACCAGCTTTGAATATATTGATCTTTTATTCTAGTTTTTATTACATAGTTACATTTATCATAGTGATGTAACGAAGTCGGTGACCCTAAATTTTTTTAATCTTATTTTGTTCCCAAAATCATGAAATACCTTCACACAAAATTTGAAGAAAAAGATCACTGGTGGAACTAAATAAGCTTGTCTTTTCACATACTTCGGGTATATTATCCATACCACGTGGCGTGGATGTGGTTTACAGAATAAATGATAATGGATTAAAAATTAAAGAATATCTAAAATGGAACAAAAAGAATAAAGAATAAAGAACAATTGGATGCTCAAACATAAAAAAAAGAGAATAATTGGGAAAAATAAGAATAGAGAAAAAATGGCTAATATTTAAAGAATACAGAACTGAAAACCCCATCAGCCAGACCGACGTGGACTTTAACATCCTTTGTTCAAACAACATTTAAATATGCCAGTCACCCGTGAAGGTTTCTAATAACGAAATATTATGTTTTTTGAAACATAACAGTAATGGATAATTATTTAGTTGTTTTGCTACTGTCTGTAGTTATTTCGATTGGTGCATTTTATGGAAACACTGTTGAGCAAAGAATATTCCAAATAAAAAACGATTTACTTAAACATGAAAAAGAAATAAAGGAAGTGAAAGAAGTGAATGTAGAATTGGAATCGACGAAAAAGGAACTTAAACAAGTGAAAGTAGAATTGGAGTCGACGAGAAAGGAACTAGCAGAAGTGAAAGTAGAATTGGAATCGACGAGAAAGGAACTTATACAACTACAAGTAGAATTGGAATCGTCGAAAAAGGAAGTTATACAAGTACAAGTACAATTGGAATCGACGAGAAAGGAAATTATACAACTACAAGTAGAATTGGAATCGTCGAAAAAGGAAGTTATACAAGTACAAATAGAATTGGAATCGTCGAAAAAGGAAGTTATACAATTACAAATAGAATTGGAATAGACTAGAAAGGAAGTTAAACAAGTGCAAGTAGAATTGGAATCGTCGAGAAATGCACTTAATAAAGTGAAGGTAGATTTAGATTCGACGAGAGATCAAATGAATATATTTCGTAAAGAAATGATAGAAAGAGACAATGCCCGCAGGGAAGAAATATACCAAATTAGAGCAGACGTAAATGAGTTACGTGAAGAATTAGAAAAGATTAAAAAAGGTAAAAAAAAAAAAACAACAAAACAGTCAAGAGTACACCCCAGCTATACCATGATACTGATATATAATCTAAATCATACCTTTTTTATACTTAAGGGGTATCCATTTTCACAATATATTTTATGTGTTATCGTAAAATCTATTTTTGTCCCCAATATGCATAATATATTTGCCGATATACGTTTAGAAAACAATAATATTAATTAACTTATAACTTGCAATGGTATTAAGAGAACGATTACCAAATCAACGAAGGCGCGACAAGTAACCAGTGCTTTAGGCCATAAAAAAGAATATGTTTGTTTGCCCTAACCCTACGTACCCAAAAAGTAGCTGCCTACTCAAAATCTTTTATTATCCTGATTTGAAAAAGTCTATTTTTAAATCAGATAGACATGAAGAAATCTAGCAATTAAATTTCTGTTTGCCTGAAAATAAAAGAAAATGCCTACCTACCTACCTACTCACTATCTCTACCTTTTGGTAGAGTTTGGGCAAACCAAAATATTTTGTGGCCTCAGTGGAGATTGTTCCTTAAGTTACCCTTCGTTGTTCTTGTTAAGACTTACAGGGTATTCCACTGCTTCTGTTCTAACATGTTTGACCTTTCAAGCGTAATGTTTTAATCAATAAGCATTGTTGCGATCTCATTTTGTCCAACGTTTTGATGTTTCTAAACGATTTAGTCATTTGGCCTATCCGAAACATGTACCGTCAAGCGTTTCAAGTGACAAGACAATTTATGTTTTACGAAATGAATTGTCATGTATGTCAGTATAATATGCAATTTTTACATTGAAAGTCAATATATGGTAAGCTGACTAATATAACAATACAGAACCATGAAAAGACCATAGACAAGCAATCATAATATACTTTTAAAAGATGCACATATACCATCAACAACAAACACTTTTTTCTAAAGAGAGAGAGAAAGAGAGAGAGAGAGAGAGAGAGAGAGAGAGAGAGAGAGAGAGAGAGAGAGTCCACCGGAAAAGTTCGTCAATTATGCGTTCCTTTATGCAGTTATATACCTGATAGAGGGGACCACCTGCATCCTTACACTATTAAAGTTCATCAAGCGTCTTCGTGATCGTCATTTGGCATGCTAATCTAGAAATAATATTTGTTCCGTAGGTACTTAATCACAATTCCATAATGTTCTGATTGTCCATTATAAGAATTTAATTTGACGAATTATTTGAGCATCATATTTTCTCTACTGCTCTCTCAACATGGGAAGGAAGTGACGATGCCCCTAAATGCACGAATGCAGTTCACTAAAACAAGTTGTCGGAAATGCAACGAACTCGAAAGTGGTCTATTAGTTTGGATATTTTAGAGACCTGGATTCTCAGTTGATCAGTTTCCATATCGGCTGACTAATTTAGAAAAACAAATCCATTCAAACGAAAACATTGCACCAATTGATGATACCCTGATTGCTCGGCATTTTTTCTGACTTTGTTACATTTTGTTTCTCACAATTTTAATTGTTTCCGAATGATTTATAATCTAACTCTTTAATGTTTACTTTACAAATGCAACTTTAATCACAAGCAACTAGCACCGAGTTATTTTTTTGTTATATTTGCCGAAAAATACAAGTTTTATACAAAAATAAATCAATTAGTTTCCTGTTTTTGTTTTGTTGTTTTACTGTAAGTGTACGAAAACAATTCATATGAGAAGTCCACATACACTTAACTTCTTTCAAAGGCCTTAACTAATTCGTTTTGAATTAAAATATTGATATTTTGTTTGTTAATTTTTTAATTTTTTTTTTCAGACATACTTAATGGTAGCATTCCTTTAAATTGACAATTGCATTATTAACTATTGACAGCGACATTTAACCTTCAACATTCATTTTTTTTTTAGAACTTCATACACAAAGACCTGGGTTTTATGCAACTCTGTCGTCTCATACTATCTTACATCAGACTCAAAGAATAGAGTTTGACCAGATTATAACTGATGTTACAAATAATTATAATAAGATAACTGGAGTTTTTACAGCTCCAAAGGACGGCCTCTATCAGTTTTCGTTCACAATGTTCTCGTTAGGAGGTACTAATAGTCTACATGCCGAGAGTATGCAGAACCATCAAGTGATTGGTCGAAATTACGGATATTCCGATGGAGTGTCAGCAACAATTAACGTAGTGATTTCTTGTAAGAAGGGAGATCAAGTTTTTGTACGTCACATGGCAGGAATAGGTGCTCAAACAATTTATGGGGGGAGATATCCAGCATTTTCGGGATTCTTAATTAGCTAATATTTCGAAACGGAAGATGCAATCATGAAAGATTGTACATCTGTACTGTAACAAAGAGTGTCATTTTCAAGCTGAAGTGGTATTAACCCTACAACTTAGTGTTGATTGCAAATCTGTGTTCTCTTTTAAATTCATTCATAAGACTACTGGCAATTTGAAGATACTGTATTGACTCATGATCGAAAAACTTATGTTGAGATATGGATGTTTTGGAGATTTGTTTGTTGGTTAGTTGCTGTCTCAGTGACATTTTCTCTACACCTCTTTAAGTCTTTATTCGTATATTCATACTATTAGTTTTAAAGATAAAAACTCTCAAGAGCCTGTGTCGCTCACCTGATTCTACTTTGGATTTATAAATCATGTAAAAATAGATTAAAATCATAACAGATACCCTAATAATGATTGAGGCCAAATTTGTTTTAATATTAACCCCGTTATTTAATCAAAAGCAGAAGACTTTTGTAAAGTTTACAGAAATTGCCAATAAATTCATTGAAATTGTAGAAAATGACTTTATAAGGACAATAACTCCAACAAGATGTCAATTGCCAATTTTCCTCATGTTGACTTATGTGTAGATCTTCTTTCCTTGATATTTTTGCAGTTTACAGTATATCTCAATCTATAAAGATACATGTATTAAGATCTTCATCAGCACCTCATTCGGAACATTCATGCCATGTTTGGTTTCATTCCATTCAGTGGTTCTCTAAAAGAAAACAGTTGTATGTATTTTCCATAGGGTCCTATGTTAAACTAAGTCCCCTCTGGCTGCCATCTTGGATGATTGATCGCCTACGAAGTTACAAAACTTGGTCAGCACCTCACAAGGAATTTTTATGCCATGTTTTATTTCATTCAATTCAGTGGTTCTCTAAATAAAGACATTTGTATGTATTTCCCATAGGGTCCCATGTTAAATTAAGTCCCTCTCTGGCTGCCATCGTGGAGAATGGATCGGGTTCAAAGTAACAACACATGGTCAACACCTCATACGGAACATTCATGCCATGTTTGGTTGCATTCCATTCAGTGGTTCTCTAAAAGAAGACGTTTGTATGTATTGTCCATAGGGTCCCATGTTAAACGAAGTCCCTCCCTGGCGGCCATCTTGGATAATGGATCAGCTACAAAGTAACAACACTTGGTCAGCAGCTCATAAGGAACATTCTTGCCATGTTTATTTTCATTCCATTCAGTGGTTCTCTAAAAGAAGACATTTGTATGTATTGTCCATAGGGCCCTATGTTAAACGAAGTCCTCCCTGGCGGCCATCTTGGATGATGGATCGGCTACAAAGTAACAACACTTGGTCAGCACCTCATAAGGAATATTCATGCAATGTTTGGTTTCATTCCATTCAGTTGTTCCCTTGAAGAAGTTCAAAATATAAAAAGTTAACGACGTCGACGGACGATTGACGCCAAGTGAAGCTCACTTTTAGGCCGGTTGAGCTAAAAAATCATTCCAATTACTCAAAATCTAAATTGTGCCTGTCTTTAAGTCGGGAACCTCGTTAGTGGTTTCCAGTAATTATATCCTGTAATGACCATGTAGTAAAACCCCCACCTTTTTCTAGCGGGTGGTACACGGGTGAAAACAAGCCAATGGTGTCCGTGCATGCGTTCGTCCTTCCGTCTTACTTTTAAATCTTTTGATATTTTAACGTTTGACAGAATGAAACTTCAGTATGATCTTACCCTCATAATGTACTAATGCACCTTCTGTTTTGTTTCTTCTTTCAAATGAGTAATGGTGTTAGCTTTGTCATGACGTGGTCTATAAAACATACACACACACACACACCACAGTACAAATTTATATCCGTATTATCTCCTATTTTTTCAGCATATAATGAAATAGACTTGAAATATGGTTTTGCTGCTTCTCCTCTATGCACGCGGAATAAAGGAGTAAAAGCAAAGACTGGTCTTCCCGCAGTCAGAATATTGTATCCAAGTACGGCGACATGTCTTCCTACTGACTTTTACTTTTCCAGTTAAAGTTTAAGTTATAATTTATTTTCGAGTTGACGAACGAGTCATAGTTCGAGTTATGATTGAGATCGAGTCAAAGGTCGAGTCAACCAGAAATGTCCAGACATAAGAGGGTGTCTCAATAGAATTCCAATTATTATTTGAAAATAAATGTATCGGTGATTTGTGCATTTTTCCTTTGATGTGTACTTATATAATAGTTATTGAAAAACTGGTCATTATCACTGTCGCAGTGAATACCACTGTCCTACGGGCAGTCCATGTATCACGATAATGACCAGTTTTCAATAACTATAATGTTTATTTCATTGAGGAACCTATTTTTTTAAAATTCTCATAAATTCAAATTGTTCAAAGCAAACTCGAGTTATTGTACGATTTCTATAGGAAAGAGTGAAGACCAGTCATAGTGATAACTATAAGTCACAGCCATTCATTTAAGTGCAATTTGTCAGTATATGAATACTAAATAAAGTTTTCTATAATTTTATAATTAACGAAAACATATGGTAATCAATTCAACAACTTCAATATAAAATTGAAAACAGGAAAATGTTTTACTGACATTTAAACTAGAAAAAATCCACGTAGTTATAAATGTATCGCAATTGCGTTTTATTAAAAGGACATCACTCTAAACAGAGAAACCACGCCCCACTGGTCATTAACATGTAAAAGTCCGTTAACGACCGGTTTTCTGGTCCGTTTTTTTTTCTGTTAAAGACCGATGGAATTTTCTACTGAAGAATAAAGAATGTCATGTGCCCCCTTGTTATCCAATAAGAGAAGCTAAATCTTAACCGATATGAAATAATTGCTGATAATGTCAGTATCAGTGGACTGGTCGTGATAATTTTTTTTTGGGTCAGTTCGCAATTGACATGCGCGAGTGCACCACGTAAGGATCTACTTTTCATTTCATTAACAAAGAATGCGCGTGATTTTTTTTTCGCAAAAACACACGAGTTTTTTGGTGATTGAAACACTTGTCATTGTTTCAGTAAAGTTAGTTTAGTTTTTTTAACGTATATATGAACATTTGATACATATGATCCATTATTGATTCTAAAACGTGTTTTTCGTTTAAAATTTGCACATGGCTTTGTGTGGCCTTTTGTATTTTCGTACTACATGATTTTGTTACCTTGGTACGGAGGATTATTGAGGGAAAATAATTATTTTGACAGAAATGATAATACAATCGATTTTTCTTAGATTTGAAGTGAACTTGTATTAAGATATTTGTATGCAAATAATAATGGAAAAATGGATTAAGCTGGAAGTTTAACTTCTAAGTCGAAATGTTACTCGGACTCAAAATTTAACACGACATTTATATTGAAAAGCAACTCGGACTCTTCTTATTTATGTTACTTGAACTCTGACTCGAATTCTTACCCAGATCCAAAGCATAACTCGAAATCGATTTATAACTTGTTACTCAAAAACTTTTACTCGAATTGAAACTCGAACTTTATATCGAACTCAATTACGAACTTCAATTTGAAGTTGAATTTAATTCGAACAGTAAGAAAATGAATAAAATCGGTAAAAATATCGAATACGTTTCTTTTTTGTACTGCAAAACATAGTCTTTGCAGTTTCTATACAATAAAAAAGATGTGAATTCATTCTCACAGTTTTACAAAAACAAAGAATAATTTCCATATTCATAATACATGTAATGGTGTAATCAATTATTTCTTTCAGTATCGGCTTTGTATACTACCACATTAAAATCAATTAACTTAATTTATCTCCTTCATTGACCGTTGTTTGCTACAAGTCAGGTTGCAAATTTGGGCTCTTCGCCAAATAATGAAAAAAAAGAAGATACAAAACAATCTGTAAAATCATGATAAATAATTTTTTAACACATATGGACATTCACGGTACTACAATCTGTCTATACCCATATTTTGGCATTGCACAAAGCTATGTTTTTCTCTGACTGTTTATGACGTCTTTACACTAAATCCATTGGATACTGGATGTGTACTGATTGATATCTTAGTCTTAGATACATGATTTTATTTTAGTTGCTATCAGATGTCAGTAACTGCGAGTACTCTCAGATTTTTACTTTGTGTCTTTTTTATTGTTAGGGATGTATGATTACACTGTCCCAGATTAGGGGAGGGTTAAGCGCTCACAAACATGCTTAGCCCCGCCATATTATGTATGTGCCTGTCCAGCATGTATGGCAGGAGCATGTAGTTCGGTGGCTGTCGTTGGTTCATATTTGTCATATTTGTTTTTCGTAAATTCCTTTGTTATAATTTGACTAGTTTCATATTTTTCATGTAAGTTATCCTATAATTGCTTACATTCACTTCATTTGAACTTTAGTGGATAGTTGACTCATTTGCAATCATACCAAATATCCTAATTGATTTTTATAATCAATTTTTAATACATATTATTTTCTCCAGAATAAGTACAATACACTGTCTCAGAGTACTAACTGCACAGTTTATACATGTAGCTATCTTTAAGTTATTTGTCTACATGTTCTAAAATACATTAGAATTATAAATTAGTGATTTGTTATATCATGACATAAAAAATTTATAAAGCTGAATTTGAAATAAATTTTTCTTTCGACAGTTACTTTTTCTGTAGTAGGACATCCTGGTACTCGGTCATGTAAGAGCAACTCAAGAAGTAAAAACAAGCTTAGAATCGGTACAATTTGGGAGGAAACGTAATTTTCTTATGTTTTCTATACACGACAAAATCATCAGAAAACAGTTAACTTCCCCCACCAAATTGCATCGATAATATGTTTGATTTTTCTTTTTTTGGTTGCTCTTACTTGACCAAGTACCAGGATGTCCTACCATAGAGAAGGTAACCTGTCGAAAAATTATGTAATCCGGAGTCAAAGTCGGTAATATGGAAATGGTCTATTAAAGAATACAGAAAAGAAGACCCGTGTTAGACCCTAACATAATTTAAACTTCTATGTGCAAACATTATTGATCAATATTTAAACATGTCAGTCACCCGTGAATGTTACTAATAAGGAAATAATATTTTTTTACAAAACAACAGCAATGGAGAATTATCTAGTTGTTTTGCTACTCTCTGTACTTGTTTTGCTTGGTGCATTATATGTACACAATATAGAACAAAGAATAGACCAAAGTAAAGACGAAATGGAGAACGTGAAAGAATAGTTGGAGTCGACGAAAAATGAACGTAAACAAGTAAACATGGTTAAACTAGATTTGGAATCGACAAGCTTTCAAAGGCTGATCTTTGAATCCCATGTCCCTTATACAGTATGTCCTATGAATGTTCTAGCCGAACAGACTAGTATTTTGTCTACTCATTAACCATTCTTTGTCATATATGTTTAAGTTCACATTACATTGAACATGTATATGATGTTTCAAGTCGATGTGACTACAGCCTCATGCATATGGACAACTACTTCTAACCAAAACTTTAACCTGATCGACGAGTGAACCGTCTTGGTTAAAACCCCAAATAATTGTTGAAAAATTATTTTTGTCATTTTACATGAAGCAGGATGAAGCTATATTCAAATCATTATTATATTGCTTCTAAACTTGAAGAAAAGAATACACTATTTCATGAGTATGACTTATTCTATGAAATGTTATCCCTTCTTTGAATTGAAAAAAATACAGATGTTATCTAAAAGCAACACTTTTGCACGTCCATTTCAAATTTCTCCTGCAAAGCTCTTGAATGCTAATTGTGTTACAGTAAAAAAATACAAACAATTCCATCAGATGTGCGCCGAAATTAAGTCCAACGAATAATCAAAATTTTTCGTAATAACCAAAACATCCAATTCGTAAGTTTTAGATTCAAGAAAGATCAGAAAACCATACTGCTCAATGAGATGAGAAAAATATGAACATAGCAATATACTTATAATTCAATATACATTAGGTGAGGTCATTTTTTAATATTTGTAGTGTCCTAAATTGTATGGATTGTCAGGTTGCAGTGGCATTTGGTGTCTATCATTTTGTTGATTGTGGAGGGCTGTTATTTGGTCAATTTACAAGTGGTGAACTAGGACGAGGGTTTACCAAATCACAGTTTATATGCAGTTGATCGTTAATTGGGCTTTTAGTTATCTCATCCGTGGAACAATTCCTTTTGCCTTTCTGCTTTTTCCATCGGGTATTGCTATTTGAATGAAAATTGAGTCTTTTCTCTCAATTTTGAACAAGGCTTTTTTTTTCACGTGATCTTTAAAGCTAACAAATTTTGCAATGATGTTTCTTTGATAACTATTTACACATTGGGTCGATGCCACTGCTGGTGGACGTTTCGTCCCCGAGGGTATCACCAGCCCAGTAGTCAGCACTTCGGTGTTGACATGAATATCAATTATATGGTCATTTTTATAAATTAGCTGTTTGCAAAAGTATAAATTATTCGAAATACTAAGGATTTTTTTATCCCAGACATAGATTACCTTAGCCGTATTTGGCACAACTTTTTGGAATTTTGGGTCCTCAATGCTCTTCCAACTTTATACTTGTTTGGCTTTCTAACTATTTTGATCTGAGCGTCACTGATGAGTCTTGTGTAGACGAAACGCGCGTCTGGCGTATCAAATTATAAGTCTGGTACCTTTGATAACTATCTTGGCTTGTAATCTTGTCCAGCTTTCAACCTATATAGATATAAGAAGATGTGGTATGAGTGCAAATGAGACAACTCTCCATCCAAGTCAAAATTTATAAAAGTAAACCATTATAGGTCACAGTACGGTCTTCAACACGGAGCCTTGGCTCACACCGAACAGTAAGCTATAAAGGGCCCCAAAAAATTACTAGTGTAAAACCATTCAAACGGGAAAACCAACGGTCTAATCTATATAAAAAAGGAGAAAGAGAAACACTTATGAACCACATCAACAAACGACAACTACTGAACATCAGATTCCTGACTTAGGACAGGTGCAAACATTTGTGAACTGCATTTCTGATATACCAATTTCAAGTACCCTACTTATGAATGATTTTAGCACCTACTCTGTATTTTCATCATCACCAATTCGATCTTATATTCCATAATGCCATGATTCAAGTGACCTGAATGCTTCGCATATGATTAAAATAAATATGTGTTTAAAAAATGATCGAATGTTCATCTGTCTACGCCATATTTAATTATTTAAGATATGACTACCACCAATTTATACTAAGGAAAATAAAATAAGCATTTGTTTCAATTTATCAAGTATATTAACTTAAGACAATACGTCACAATTTAGTTGAATACATTTGTCTGCAAAAATGCCTCAGAAATATATAAACTTCTGTATTTTGTTAATCGCCTAAAGTAAGAAACCAGTGAATGTGCTCCAAACCCTATGAATATAGAACGGACGCGCTCCCCAGACACCGTGCTTGACGAGTCTAACTGTATCGTCTTTGTTTAGTTTCACGATGATGCTGTTTGTTGCAGTATTACCTGTTATAGTTGCAGCATACGTATACATCCACATTTGAGTCTGTTCATTTACTTTTAGTGACATTTCCAATATTGATCCCGTACTTGTAAATATTGTAGAGGTGAAATAGTATGTTCCTGCTATTGGAGCCGTAAAAATACCAGTAGCGGCGTTATAAGAGTTACCATCGTTAGAAATCACTTGATCAAATATAACCGTATTCCAAGGATCAATATCTTTAATAGAGGTTCCAAGTCTGGCAGAGAACGATATGCCATTGTGTTCTTTGTTTTCTGAAAGATAATGACAAATAGGAAAATATATTGAATTTCTAAAACTATTCAATTATCTCAGGGAAATCATAGAATTGCTTATATTTGTTTTGTTCGGAATTGGTCAATTGTATTTTGTTTTATCTAGAGATTATTCTGAAAATATGTTCTTTGTTGAAGCCAACTCATATAAGGAGAAGTTTTGGTAAGTCGTTGGTAAAAGAACATCTGGCATTTTTTATCCATTAAGGAAATATGCTTTCAAAGCTAAACAATTATCAAAATATTCTAGATAAAGTCCACCTTGCATTTTGTCATTATGCAGGAAATTGTTGTATACTTGTACTTGTTGATTAACAATGTTCCCTTGATAGATTAAATATGTCAATACCAAAGTATTGTAAAGAGACACACGAGGAATAACTCGGTAAAAGAACAATCCCAACCGAAAAACTGATTACTGTTCACTTCATTGTTGCTCGGTAAATATTCGCTTTCCAAAATTACAAGTTGTGATAAGTTGATTTATATAAAAAAAAGTCTTAGTGTTCATCAGCAAATATTTTATGCATGTTTGGGACAAAAATCAATTTTACAACAAACCTATAAAGTATGTTGTAAAAATGGATGCTTTTTAAATGAACATATGATATGAATAAAAATATTATCAAAGGTACTAGGCTTACAACTTGATACGACAGCAATGCGTTCGTCTACATAAGACGCACCAATGGCACTCGAATCAAAACGGTAAGAAGGCCAAAATCAAAAACGAAATTGAAGTCAATTTAGAACCAAAAATTCCGTGAAGCTGCAATGTAATCTAATCTGTGTTTGTTACCTTTTTTAATATCATTTAATGTGTTCTCGTAACGGTTGTTGGTTTCTTTCAGTAATTTCATCGTTTCTTTATGTAACGTCGTAACGTTTTCGTTCGTTTGATCTAATTCCTTCCTGTATGCATTTTCTTTTTGTATCATTTCGTTAAGACCTGCATTAACTTGTCCACTCATCGATTTCAATTCTTCATGGACTTTCTTCATTTCATTCTTGTGATGAATTTCTACATTAATAAACTCGTCTTTAAACGTCACAACGCCTTCTTCTGTTTGATTTATTATTTTTCTGCACTCGTTGTCTTTTTCTATCATTTTGTTACGATGTTCATTAATTTGCTCACTCATTGATTTCAATGTTGCATTAACTTTCCTCATTTCCTCCTTGTGTTGAACTTCTGTATTAACAAAATCGTTTTTAATTTGAACAATTCTTTGTTCAACATTGTATCCATAGAATGCACTCAACAAAACTAGTCCAGACAGTAGCAAAATGGTAAGATAATTCTCCATTACTGGTATTTTTAAATACACAATATTTATATATCAGTAACATTCATGGGTGAATAGACCTGTTTAACTATTGTTTACACATACATACATACATACATTTAAATGCCATGAGGGTCTTGAGGGTCTTATATATTCCTTTATTTTAAGCAAATTTTTTCTATTTGTTTTCCCCAGAAATTTTCAATATTCTTTACGTTTCTCCAATTTTTCTATCTTCTTCAATTTCCCGCATTAGTTTGTCTTTGTTTTGTTTAATCACTCTATGTTTTTTTTTTCCATGTTTTGTTCCATTATTCTCTATTCTATTAAAACCCAATTTACACCTTCTATAACTTCTGTTTTATTAAGGAGTATGGTGTGTTCACAATATTGTGTATCTTTCTGAGGATTTGCTTTCAGCGGAATGTATGCATATGCACAAAAAATCCACATTTACCATAGTAGAGTGTTTTGTGAAAATTTGTTTTTAATATAAAAGATAAAAAAATATCTCAAAGCTCTATACTACAATTTAAGTTTAAACACGTATGTTAGATGCAAAACATCATAAACTATGCGTCTTCATTAAACTTTTAAAGTCCATAGAAACAGATGTAACAATTTAAATACACCAACTTGGCCATGTTTACCTCTCTAATAAAGAGTTCCATTCCTTTTGTTTAATCTCGACTTGATATCAGCCTGATTGATTTAGACGTACAAAGATTGTGTGTGTGTATTTGTGTGTGTTTTAGCGAACAATCCAAATCTGACTCCTAACATGCCTAATATGAAACAAACTACGCACGAACAATGATATAGTAAGTAACACAAATTGTAAAAGGGCAGTATTTAAAATCAGTACTAAAAGAAAGAAATCGTTATACCATAACATGCATTTTAGTTTCTGTTGCATGATTTTGTTATATTGGTAATTGTTTTTGGCTTTTACCTAGCGTTCAGTAACTGCGAGTACTCTCAAATCGTACTTTCGTGTTAAATTGACCTGTTGACACAATGTGTAATGCATTTCTGTAGTTCAATGTTTACTTATTTTGTGTTATATCTCGTCTCACTATGTTTGATATGTACCACCTTTGATAAGTATTTAGTATGACGATAAAATTTTCACTTCCGTACTCGTACTCCGAACAACAAATTCATTAATTTTGTAAACAAATTTCTGTACTCCTAACAACAAAATTATTATATTTAAATTTACCTGTGTGCGTTGTTTTATTTAACGCCATTTTGTCCCAGGTTAGAGTTGGCTTATTGACACTCTTATTCATCTTTTTTTTTTATTAATACCTGTATGTTATATAGGCACCTACGTTTTAATTTTGTATTTATATTGTGTCCTAGAACAAACTCATTCGTTTAGTATGTGTTTACTTGTTTTTGTTTTAATGTCTTTTTGATCGAGTTAAGCCATTTCAATTGATATTTTATAGTTTGCCTTTTTATGTTGTAATGTTACACTACTGTATCAGGTTAGGGTGAAGGTTGGCACCTGTTAAAACGTTTAAACCATCTGCCATTTTATGCACCTGTCCTAAGTCAGGAACCTGTTGTTCAGTGGTTGTCGTTTGTTGGTGTGGTTCATAGGTGTTTCTCGTTTCTTGTTTTTTATATAGATTAGACTTGGATGGAGAGTTTTCTCATTGGCACTCATACCACATCTTCCTATATCTATAGACCGTTGGTTTTCCTGTTTGAATTGTTTACACTAGTTATTTTGGGGCCCTTGCTGTTCGGTGTGAACAAAGGCTCCGCGTTGAAGGCCGCACTTTGACCTATAATTGTTAACTTTTTATACATTGTGACTTGGATGGAGAGGTATCTCATTGGCACTCATACCACATCTTCTTATTTATATTTTCAACATGGAGATTATTATATTGTTAAAATAAAGATGTGAAGATTTATTCACATCATTTCCATTTGAACAGATACTGCAAAACCATTTTTGATCCATAAAATTAAAAAAAATATCCCCCAAAATGTTTTCTTCAGATTTTGTGAATTTTGTCACTGTTTTACCTCGAGGGTATCATCAGCCGAGTAGTCCGCCCTTCTGAATTGACATGAAATATCATTTGGTCAAATCTATAAATTAACGGTTTAAAAAACATTGAGTTGTTCAAAATACTAAGCATTGTTTACCCAAGGAATATATTACTGTATTTTGGGTCCTCATGGCTTGTCAACTTGTATTTTATGTGGCCTTTTAACTTCTTTGATTCGTGCGTCCTTGTTTTTTGAAGACGAAACGCGCGTCTGGCGTACACAATTATAAGCCTGGTTTCTTGAAGGAGTTTGTTTACAATGTTTTGTCATTTATATATAGTGCGAGAGATATTGGAATTTTTCCAATTGAAAGGTCAATAGTCCATATATTTCCAAATGAGAAAAATCAGAAAATATTATTGCATAAAGTCGTTGTTTTGTCCTTAAAAACTGTAGTCTAATTTCCCTCGTTTTCTCCAGAATAAAAACATGTTTAGACGATTACTTGAGTTTGCTTCATTTTATATTTGAATTTGCAACATTATAAGTCGTATAGAGTTATGGAGCTATTAGTATCTATACTGAACAAAAACCCTTAATCCTTCCGATATAAATTATTTTATTTCTACTTAGACTTCCAATGGGTATACTATTCGCTTTGTCGAGTTACCAGCCAACTGTATGACTAACTTACATGTTGAGTATGCCTAGATACAAGCCGCGATAAAAAATGAACGTGTTTGCAATGAACTTCAACGTAACGTTATAATTTTATTGATATTCACTAAAAGTGTAGCATTCATTTGACACGTTGTGTTAAATAATATTATTTATAGAAATTCTTTGTTACAATATCGTAAAAAAGTAACAAATCAAAGACATTAAATGAAGGAAAAAATGCCTTCCATCACCTGATGCTTTGTAAAAAATGAGCTGATCTTAGTGGCAATGAAAAAATTGAATAACACCAGTATAATATCAGGCAAAAGGTAAACTGTTAAAGTTAGATTTCATAACAAATAGATACAATTGGGCGAGACGAAACAAGGCGTTTTAATCGGCCTATTCACCGAGGCATCGTGTCAATAAATGAAATATTTCAATAAAAAAAAAATTACCTTGTCATTTGTGTGATTCTTGTATGGATGGCACCTATTCGAATTGCTAAAATTGTCACCGGTATGCAACGTATAACAACGGCAACAAAAGAAGATGACTTTGAATGGGAAACCGATTTTGAAGCCAAGAACGAGATGTATAAGTTACTTTTGTTGTTGCAGATTATCCAAAAGACGGTTATTTTCTATTGAAACCTGCAAGAAATTCAAATAATTTGTATGTTGATAGTACAGATAAATGGAGCGTTTCTCTGTAAATTATAATAACATATTTAGCGGGCTGTACATTTACAGTTTCCAAGTGATAGCTTTGCCTAGACTTAAATATTTGTGATGACAGAATCTGGCCCATGCAAGACGATACTCATGTTGAAATAATTGGTAGTCTTAGGCAGTAATAAATATATGACAATATACTTTGTATAAACACATAATCTGTCATCTTAACAGTGTTCATAATTAAACATGAATAGTTAAAAATCCAAATGTATTCTGTATAAAAAATGCACTGTTCTGACGTTTCGTATCAAAGTGGGTGAAAATGAACAACGACGTCAAGTAACATTACCATTACTCAACAGGACAAGCGGAATCGTCTAATTTGTGTACTTTCAGTTGTCCTACTGTAAACACCGTAAGTAACTTCAAAGCTATCTATATAAGTAAATGTCATAGGTTACTATAATAAGAGGCAGGTGTTACCTGTTAACTGGATGACTGAATTAGTTGGTGTTAAACGTCCAGTGGAAAAACTAACATTCACATCAGGTTCATTACATGCTAATATGATATAAATATGAATACAAAGTAAAAGTTAGCAGGAAGACATATAACCCGACCTTGATGCATTATTCTGACTAAGGATCGAACAGTCTTTACTCTTACTCTTTAATTTCCAAGCGCTTAGAGGAGGAACAGCAAATGCCAATTTGCACGTCATTAGTTTGACCCGACAAGCGATGAAAGACTTGTACCCCCACACTAGAGGCAGTCACGCTAACACCTACGATACCACCAATATTCAAAGGAGTCTGCATCATTTGCTAGGTATTAGTTTTGTTTATTTCATACAGAATTATATCCCAAAGCAGACATGGGGTAATTGAAATATGTAATTGTAATTGACCGTACTTAATTACAATTTCTCAAGTAATTGAAAGTAATGTGTAATTGAGCATTTTTTCGATTACAAGTAATTGAAAGTAATGAATTACAAAGCCAAAATTGTCTGTAATTGACAATTACTTTTCAATTACAACTCAATTACATTTGAAATTTTGGAACAGAAAGATTGAATCTTGTGTTTTCTCAAAAAATGATGAAAAGCCATGAACATAGTAAATGTAGTTAGCTGACAATTTAAAGCAAAGCCTACACAGTATACTTTCTGTAACTACACAACGATGGGAGATTCTTTATTTTGTTTTGAATGAAAGAAAAGGTAAAAGAAAAAAAATTGTAGAAACATGCCATAATTTGTATTTAAAAGAAACCATTAGTAATTCACTGTTTTATACATTAATTAGCTTGTTAACTACATGTGTACTCAGACATATATTTTTAGCCATTGATTTAACCTTTAAAGTACATAGTCAATCAATAAATATAATCTCTGGCTATTTGTTTTATTATAAACTATATAATGACTGTTTTACAACAGTTATGTTTGCATGTTAAACAGGTGTTAAGCCAATTAGAGGGAGATAAATATACCCCTAGGTACATGATTTTTTTTAAATCAGTTAATTGTGATTAAAACTAAAGTACATTTTTAAAAGAGTAAGGCTTTTTAAATCATTTCATTAGGAAAAATAATTTTAATGAGTTGTGATTAAAATAAACCATCATTTCAAAATATTAAAATAAGGGCTCTCTTTTTGTATAAAATACATTAAAATATAAAATTTCAATAGGTAATTTAGACAAAATTTAATATTTTC